TCAACTTTGTCGCGTCAATGACTCCGCCCACTTGGCGTCGCCAACGTTCGCGCCGCCTCCTGTCGCCGGAAATCGCCAGCTCTCATCGAAAATGAACGGCATCGCGTCGCTGCCGGTGTGAATGCACGGTACGATTTTCGGTGGTAATCTGGTGACCAAAGAGTACTTATAAAGCAAAAGTATTTGCATTAAACAGTGCGGAGTTATCTTATGTTCATTCTTATAGAATGACAAACACTTAAGCGGTCCATCGTTGCTTGGCAACAGTACCGTTGTCCGCCGTTTTATAAAAGTAATAAGCCACTTGAGGCTGTGTTACTGTGATTTTATCAAGGGAAGGGTGTCGTTAGGCACGACGCACGACCGTGATGAAATCGCAGTAACCCACGGCCTCTCGTGGCTTATTGACCGAAGCACAGACAACAATTAAATTTAATGCCCATTCTTTTCACAGTTATATTCAGGTATGTCCACAGTGATTGGTTAGTCATGCAAAGAACCATTTTTGCAGTCTTGAGCACAGTCAAAATAGCTAACTCGTCTTGCTAGCTAATGTTAACAATTTAGTTAGCTTGATAAGCTGGTTAGCTAGTTAATGTTAGTTTCGTTAGCTAGCTAAAGCTAGTTAGCTATCTAGTGGTTTGATTTCTTAGTATTAAGTCTAAGCCATCAAAATTATAGCAACTGTCAGTAATTAACTTACCCCTTCAATGGTTACACAACATCAGGCATCCATGACTACATCTGAACTCCTTTATACAGAGGTCTAGAAGGTGAATTAAGGTCCTCATCCCTGCTGAAAAGCAACCACACAGTCTAGTGCTGGTCCGGTGCTGGTTTAGCTGGTCACTCAGCATGGTCATGTTGGTTGACCAGCACAGCAGCATTCGAAATACAACATATGCTGGCTGCTGGTTTTTCTTGCAGGAGTCTTTAACTTCTACACAGGATAAAGTCTTTTTAAAGCCATTTTCTCTCAAATAAGAAGTGAGTCTCATTTGACCTTCAGTAATCTGACAAATCAAAAGCTATGAATATTTCGTAAGACGCTTCACAAAGATCAAAACTCAAGCTCAACAGAGAAAGACAGCAGTAGTGGTGACACTCTGTTTAGCATTCTGAGCAGTAGACGGTCAGTTTGAGATGCTATCCACTTTCACATTACCCTCTCCAATGGGCCCTTCAAAGAGAATTGCTGGATTAGGCCAATTACTCATTTAGTCGAGGTCAACTCTCTTGAAGCAAAGAAATATCAGTTCAGAGATCAGTGATCTGAATTTGATATGAGGAAAAGTGTTCAGCAAGGTTAGTGCTTGAAATGAATACTTGACAAACTATTCCTGATTTTAGGTTCAGATTTATCATGAAAAAATTAATGCCGACTGGATCCATGGTGTCAAAGCTAAACTCTTTAGTGGATGAATAAATCACTAAACAGCATCACATTAAAAAGCATTGCATTGAGAGGTGAACTCAACAGTTTAACAGACAGCTAAAATATTTTGCAAACCCTGAGATAAATAACTCGACCACTGCATGTCTAAAATTCATCTAAATGACACTTTTCACACTGAAACAAAAAATAACAGTCTGGTTTGCTAATTATTGCACTCAGGAATTCTATTAAATAATGCATTGACGAGACGAGTTGTTGGCGCTCTAAACTGAGGTTCTGTGAATAATGAGTTTTAATGATCAATTTAGTCAAGCCCTGGATTATGCAGTTTTTATTAACTTTTTCATATTCTGCCCTGCTGTTCTGACACATAAAACACCAGAGAGTTCCACTAAAGCAGAGTGATTTCTACAGAAACAAAGGTCTTTTGCAAATGGTTAGTCAGAGAAAACACTACATAAAATCTCAGTGAATATTACAAATGTGTTACTGTAGACATGAATGCAGAGTATGTAGTGTCAAATATTGATTTGTGTAGTAATAAGCTGAAAACAATTTCTGCAACATATTTGGTTAACATGACTGCTGTTTAGAATAACACTACTGCTCAAAGTTTGGAATTCTATATATTTATATTATATATTTTATATATTTATATATATTCAATAATACAACCAATTTGGTTGGAGACAAGTATAAGTCTATTACAGATTTCACATAATTTGCAACTAGTAATATTTAACAGCTATAAATAAAACTGAAAAATGTTAGATGTGTCTATAATGAAGAGCTGAAGATGATTCTAAAATGACTGAGAATGCAGTTCAACATGAATTATATAACAAGGAAACAATATCCATAATTAATCATATTTCTTGAGGCAAATAACAAAAAAAGACAAAAAATAAATGTAAATAAATAATTACAGTATATTATCACCTTCACTACTTGTTCACAGAATTCTTGAAATATTGAATAAAACATATAAATATAATTTTTGGGGAATAGTGATCTATAGTAACATTTAATCCTATTGTGTAAGTTATTATTGAATATAAAATAATAAAAAATTGTTAATCTGGCAAGTGATTCTAAACCTTTGAATTGACCAGATATATTCATAAAAAAGTCTGGGGACTAATTATGGATCAGTCATGCAGTAATTGTGCCGTATTTTCACTTTCTGAATGTTTTTGGACATCACCACCAAGCTTCTCAAAAGTACAGCAAATGGGTCCTACTACTGATGTGCATTTTTCCTCCTTTTCTTCAGAAAATATAGGCTTTTTCTCCTAGTTTCATGAAGACATCATCTCTGAGTAGCTGGCAAAATAAAATTACCTCCATCTCAGCACTCACCTCCACTATCTGCACAAGGGAAGCTCATTATTATGGCACTTCAATTACCATATCAAAGATCACAAGCACCATAAATACACAAAAACGACATCAATGGCTACATTATCCAGAGCATCTATGGCTTTGTTACTCTTCCTAATGTCCGGATAAGGCTTTTCACAATGTCATGAAAGTGACCGGCTCTCGGTGTATTAAAGCATCCTCTCAGCACTGCTCTAAAGCCTGCTGCCCTTCTATAGCATAATGGGAGGGCATTGGTAGTTTGCGCTGTCCAAGGAATTTTAAAGGTTATCAACAAAGCCGCAGAACGCAGACAGCGGCCATACACTATGGCATGGTGAGGGAAGGGGCTGGGGGGAGAGCGAGTGCTGCTATCAGTTTGACATTTCTGTCAGTCCTGGTATTTGATTCGGTGGATGGCTCTGACAAATGCCAGCGCTGTCACTGGTTCAGTTTTAATTATACCTGACCGAGTCTTGCGGATATCAGCGCCTGAACTTAATTAGCTGATGTAGAGGCTCCTGCTCACAGATCTTGCTGGCTGAAGTAACCCACACGGCTTTGTGGTCCTATGATGGCATTTTATTGGTGTCTGCATACATGTGAATTAAGTAATGAACCAGGGAGGCGGGTGGCATCGAGTTGGTGAACCTGATTTTCATTGTTATGCTAACGGAGTCAAAAGCCAGGACGCAAGTTTGAGAGGACATTTAGGAGATGAGATATGGATGGGACTCATTAACCTCTCCATAAACCGTAAAGAATCCCCTCTTGCCTGGAATTCGTTCTAAAAAAAAAGCTAGAAACCTTCAATGGAATTGGCTATTTTGAAAAGCAATGCATTCAAAATTAAATAGATGCTAAATCAGAATATTTGTACAAAATTCCAAGTACACAAAGTGGAAAATGTGTGGAAAGGCAGGTAGTCCAAGTCTGCTGTGAGACGAGGCCGCTGGAATCACTGAGTGCGTATGTTAATGGAGCAAAAAATGATTGGAGTGTGAAACAATTGCCCACTGTTTTGTTTGATTAAGGATCATTTAACATGCTGATGAGAAAGTGACCTAAAAGGGCGCCGTACTAAAGAGGATTCATAATTATAAATCAGCGTATTTATAATACATTTCCTACTGTGGTACTGGGAAAGATACTGTTCAACCAATGAATCTGGTTCATCAGAATCGCAGATGGAAATAAGAGTCTGCATATTATTGATTTGTTTTTATAGAAAAAAACAACAATTTATTTCAGTGTCAAAGTATCACAATGACCACACATTCACCTGGCCAGGAAAGCCTACTACATATTACTTGAAATAGGACAACTAACATTTAGTCAGTACAATTACAGAAATTTACAGGTGAAATCTACAGTTTCTTACTGCAAAGGAAATTTAAAAAGGCTCATGATCTTTGTAAGGTAGCCAGAAATGAAGGTGGATTAAACGAAACAAAAAGACCTTTTGACAAAATGACAGTAAGAGTGCTGTGCTGCCTGATATTCTGCTTACCCCTGAAAATGTGTAACTATCAAGTTTAACAGCCATGAACCAACAGCGCTAGGTAGCATTTTGAGAAATCATGTTGACATACAGTATTAAGTATGCATACCCAGATTCCAGGATCTTGTCATGTGATTTGGGACCCATCTCATCAAACCACAAATGGAGAAGGCAGGCTTGGGCAGGTACTGATTTAGAATACTTTTAAGCTGAGACTTTGTGGAAAGGCTCATTGTTGATGAGGGTAATACTGAATTTAATATATTTGGCAACATGTCTGAACACAGCATCACATATTTCTCAATGCACTAATGTAAATGTAATTCTGTATTATAACAAATACAGTTATGTGGGGAAACTGATCCTAGATCAGCACTGCTAGTCTGTGGTGACTGGTAGATAAAGGCTCTTGAGTTAGGCAGTGCCATTGCATTCCACCTGCACTCCACTTCATTTTCACCCCATTTATTTCTTATTCACCTGTTCAAATGTCTTATAGCAGGGGATCCCAATCCTGGTCCTGGAGACCCCACGCTATGCACACTTCTGTGTTTTCCCTACTCTACACACCTTACCTAGCCCATGAGGAGCTTGTTAAACAGTTTTTCATTTGAATCAGGTGTTCTAGATAAGACAAAGCACAGAAATGTACATCATGTAGGGTCACAGGCAGATAGGAGAACTGACATTTTCTGTGACTTATAAATAATAGCATTAACATGTTAACAGCTTTAACAATGATAAATGGAGTTATAGCACTGACTGGCCCAATGAAGGCACACTGTAACACACTAATAGTGTTTATATAGTAATTGTAGACATGTAGACATACTGAGACATATTTTGGCATTTTCAATGTTGTCCTCCAGTGACAACATTTCCCAAACCATAATTTTGACCCCCTTCCTAACCTTATAAACTTTACCTTGTGCCTCTCATTCTCAGCCCTTGGGTTAGAACAGTGCTTCCTCTGCTCTAATACATCTGATTCAACTGATCAGCAAATAATCAGGCCCTTGATAAATTCAATCAGCAGCCTTAGAGCAAGGGAAACACTGCAGTTCAAGGGTTCACCTGGACCGAAAATGAGGAACACTGCCCCCACAGAAAATCAACCAAATGCCTAATGGTGCAGCTTCATCACTGAAATGCACAGAGAAAAATATTTGTCCATAAGCTGTTTGCCATAGGCCTGATTGCTGCCCCAGGCCTGTTGCTGGTGATTGTGTTGTAACTAGATTGGTCAGACTTTTTTTTTTTTCCCCTCCTTGGAAAAAATCACACAAAAATCTTACAGTGTCTAAGATTGAGGCGGCAAAGTTTTCCACAGTCATGGCATGAGTTATGAAACTGAATTTCCTTTCAAGAACCAACCAAGTGAAAAATGAAACCAGTAACGAGATTAAAATTAAAAGCAAATAATTACATGGTGATTTACATTCAGATTAACAGAAACTCGAACATGAACAGGATGCGTAACTGAGGCAAGGATGCAGTGAAGAACAGAACTTACAGGGAAAGAAAAGAAAAAAATATAAGCAGCTTTCAACATAAATTAGCGCTTTGGAATTGTTGCACTGAAGAGTTTCTCACTGAGGGTGACATGAAAAACTGTCTTCAAAAACTGTGGACAAAAAATTATTCCCATTAAAAATGTGATGAATCTGTTGATAAACTGCTTACAAAATGTTTATTAATAACAAAGTGAGAAAAATACTCTTCTTTTCCCTTTCATAAAAATCGCCACATTGAACGAGGCAAAAGTAGATCATACCACATGGGGTAGAGTTTGAGTCTGAGTTGAGTGGCTCTCTATACAGTTGTAACAGAAAGGAAGGCGTTGTGAACTTTGGCCCCTTCTGGCGCTTTCGCTCCATGTGTCATCAGCTCCTGGATGGTCATCCAGTTGTCCAGAATCTTTTTGTTGCGCTTCTTCATCATCTTGCGGTGGCTGAGCTCAATGATACTGACCTCTTTGCGGCCCTCCCCGCTGCTCTGCGGGCTCTCCTTCAGGCTGTCCAACCGGCAGCGCTGCATGAGTTCCCGTCGTCGCCGCTGCTCTTTGGCCCTCAGCAGCTGCTGCTTGCGCTCTTCCTTGCTCCAGTATCGGCCCATCTTCATCTCACTCATGGCATCGTCGTCTGTTGTCATCCCACCGCTGCGCTCCTCCTTGATTTTGAGTGCCCGCTCTCTCAGCAGCCTATCCCGTACTGGCCGCTTGGTGATATAGCGCGTCCCGTCACTCCGCACCTTCACCTTCCACTCCATCTTGGGCTCTGAAGGCCGGGAGGCCTGCGGGCCACCCGCTGCCAGCAGGCTGAGCTGGCTCTGGCCGTACTCCACTGCTGAACGCTGCTGGACCAACTGCATGTAGCTCTGGTAATGCCTGGCATGGGCTGGAACATCCGCTTGCTGGTGACGGTGGGAGAGGTAGGGGATCCTTGAGCCTAGTGCCTTGTCTTTCTTTGGGGAGCTTTCGTCCTCTGCTGGGGGGGTCTGCTCTGACTCTGAGGGATTACTATGATCGGGACTTCCACTAGGAGCCCTCCTCACAGCAGGACACGGGGGTGAGCCCCGTCCCGCAATCAGACTGCTCAGACTGCTCTTCAGGTTCTTCTGATTGGTGAGGCTGACCATCCTCTGTAGCGAATGCTCTGGAGAGCGGTCCATAGCCAGTGGTGTACTGCGGGAGCTCTCTGCTGTATTGTAAGCACTTGAACTGTCCTTGTCTGACTTCTCTGGATGCTCATTGATATTAGCCAGCTTGCCTCCCTGCTGCTGTCCACGTCCACGACGAGGACTCCACTGCAGCTGCTCTTTGGCTGGCACCGGCTGCCGCTGGTCTTTCTTCCGTAGCTGGTGTGCCTGCATGATGCTCTGGCACTCCAGCTCGATGCTACGCAGCTCCTCATTGAGGAGGCGCAGCTCCCGCTCCACCCCGCCACTTTGCTCCGTCAGACTACACTCGATGGTGCTGCTGCGGCTGTAGAACAAATCGTACTCGCCACTGTTACGGATCTGGCATTTCAGCTCCAAAAGTTGCTGGTAGCGGTCACCTTCGGATTCCTCCCCCACCAGTCCCTCCCCAGAACATCTAGCCAGCCCCGGGGACTCACTTCTCTGGCCCACTGCCTCCCGCCGCTGCCGCAAACACTGGGACAGCCTCTTCTGGATCTGGGCCAGAACGTTGTGGTCGGAGGTGTCAGAACAGTGGCGCTGGGCTCCAGCAGCACGTGTCCTCTCTTGACTGAAGGAGCAGGAAGCACTACCAGCCATGATATCCTCTGGCTCTGTCTTCCTGGCCTAATGACAGTAAGACATTTTTGAAGTCAGAGATGCAACTTCTTTTTTTTTTTTTTCATAAAATAAGGCATTTTCATTAAAAAAAAGAATCAGTAACACATTATTTTCATGGTACACTGTTGATTTGTTTTAGGTGCTCATTGAAGAAATTTACTTTTCCATAACTCTAAACCTAGCAGTCACTCTAACCCTAGCCTTAACCTCAACTTTACCTAGCTCCAGTCTAATCATAACCCTATATCCATGTAATGATGGAAGTGAAGGGGCTTGATGTGGGAGTCTACTGACAGAGAGAGTAAACCACTCAGTTATCAGGATATTTTCAGAATATTCACAGAATATTTTTGAAATTTGAAAATTTTAAAACAAAGAAAACTTACAAGTAAATGAAGAAGAAATATTTAAGATTGTGCACAATTTCTATTCTACTATTCAAATTTAAGCAAATCTGTGACCATGCTGAAACCTTTGAACTGGTCAGAAGTGTATTTATTTATTTTTTTAGTCTTCTCCTTTCCATTGAAATGTGTTAAAATGACTCTCAGCTGGATCTGATCAACTCATCACAGGCTATAAAAAGCATTAAAAAGAGCACTTCAGCTCGACTCACTTCCATGATTGATATTGACACCAAAACCTGTACATTTCCAAATGAACTGCGTTACATATTTTGGAAGACATTCTGTTTGTTTGTCTGCAAAACTGTTTTTTTCAATTTTTTAAGCTCCTATTTCGTTTGTCATCATGTGTTTTACTATGAATTCTGTGCATCCCCACGTGCAAAGTCTGCTGAATCCTGAAGCTGCCTTTCTGGAAATTCACAGAAAGACTGAACTATCCCCCTTATGGCTTAGATAAATGGCAGAGTTAGACAGCCCTACAGCCTCATGGACCTTCTCCATAACACGTTAGATTTACATATATGCAAGTCTGGAGAATGCTGGATATTTAGATTGGGCAGTAGATGCCATGCCAATTCAGAAATTCCATCCGTTCAGAAAGTTTTAAATTCATGTCAAAGTTTCAAAGATCATACTTTTCACTCACTGTTATGCTGACTATGTAATGTGTAATGAAAAAACTTTATCAAATTAGAAAATAATGCAAAGTAGAAGTTTCACTAGTGGTCTCAGACTTTTCGACTCCACTACTGATAATGGACCCTTCCACTACCATAAAGATTTATAAAACCCTACCACTCTTGATAGTTCCAGCAAGGTCTAACCAGAAAATCAGTCACATTGTGTTTGGACATATTGTGGAGTTTCTACACTTAAGTTAAAGTATAGTCACCTGAGATTTCAGACACTTGTACTTTTTCTAAGTGTGAGTGTTCCATGCTTAGACATTCTAAGGACTAGGGGGACTATATTAAAATCAAACCACATTAACTTCAAACAAAACTCTCATTCTAAAGAAATCAACTATACATGCCATGTAGAGTGATACTGCACAACTGTGTATCAGACACATTCACAAATATCCCAAATAATCCCATCTGCAACAAAACCCTCAAGGGTCTGAACTAGCTACTGTTTATGCTCCCATGCAGCACAGTGTTACTAGGACTCACTGCTCTTCTGTTTTCCACCACCCACCTGCTCTTCCTCTTCTCTGGCTGCTCTCTCTATCTCCTCCTCCTCTCTCCTCTGTTCTTCAAGCATCTCCATTTTGAGTTCCTCCAAAAATTCACTGTGCTCATCATCCAGCCAGGCTGCATCATCCAACTGCAGAGAAATACAGAGGCAGAGGAAAGAGAGGGTGAAAGACTGAGAGAGAGGTTGACTGTATTGCATAAACCAAGCATGAGTAACAAACTCAAATGAGCCTTGACTAAGCATGAGTACAGAACTAACCCTGTTAGCTTTAATCAAGAACTGTGGACACTTCTAGATTATGTACAAAATGCTTTGTGTATAGAGTCATCTATGGTCTATGATCATGGGAATTTAGTGATGTACAAGCCTGAACCTCTTACATTTTGCCGTGCACATTAGACTGCTCTACAGCAGGATAATAAACTTTGTGCGAAGCATTTAATGAACCAAGCTCTCGTATCAAATGATCAATACGAAACCTAGTGTCCTGCTGACCCTCTCCTTTAATTTCTTACATCAGCTCTCTGCCGGGCGCTTGTCCATAAAGCATAATCCATATTTATGGTTTCAAATTTACTATCAGAGATGTATTTAATTACATTGAGAGAGAAGAAGGTCCATTAATGGTTGTTTGAGCTCCGCTGCTCTGGCCTGTCATGACCATTCAGCTTGGTCCGACGCTTGAACTGTGCAGTATTAGTATGCTATTAGTTTTTATGGGTGACGGGTGGAAGTCAATTACCCCGGCAGTGTGTGAAAATAAAACACGACTGGGTGAATGTGTTGGTCATCAGCATGAGGAGAGGGCAGGGCACATCCTCTGCCCCAAGCATGTTTACTGGAGGAAATCAAAATGGTCACCTCTATAAATCAAAGCAAATGCCAGGCCTGTTTCTGCTCTGCTGAGTACGGGAGGACAACACCTTCAAGAGTCCTACAGTGCTTTAAGTGGGGCTATTATAGCATGAGATGCTGTGTGTATTCTTGCATTCATCAGTGTAATTTCTCTGTTGGTCTGCAGGGCTACAAATATGTGTGTGTGCATGCAAGAGTGTGTATATGTATTAGTCTCCTTACCTGCATCTCTGGTCTGGCTACGAGCAGTACAATGTTTCTGCAGTCTTCACTAGAGAGCACTGCCACTGCCTCCTCTCTGTCCTGCACATCCTGACCATTTATCTGAGGGAAAAAACACAGCAAACAATGCTTAGTTTCAGTCTAGCCAGAAGCTAAACAAAGCCTATAATGACCTTATGTGTCCAGTAGGGTTGAGCAATATGATGATATTTATCACTATAATGAAAAATTGTACAATAAGCTTTTCTATGCATATTGTGAATATCTTTGCAAAGGCATATTTCATTACAAAGAGAGCTTAATTTGTCTCCTTAATTAGTTTAGCAGGACTTGGTGCAGCACAGTATGTGAAATTCGAATAAAAATCATTGTGTACAGTTAATATTGCACTTTTATCTGTTCCAACTTGACAAACATTTAGTCTCCAGAGTATTTAACACCAAATTTTTTATTTTTTTTTAAGTGATATTTAGGCAAAAAATTTACAAAGTTTCCCCTTACCCTAATTGTAGTAAATCAACCAAGACATTGTTGATATCTGAAGTTTACTTCTCTGGATAAAAGTATCAACAAAATTCAGGCTTTTAGCTTTATTATTTTAGCGTTATTTTTGCAAATCTTTATATATAACAGTGTTACACAGTGTGTGAAACCATTTAAGCAAGTCTATTTGATATTATGTAACAACACAGTTTGAGGCACGTTTGTGATGATTTAGGCAGGCAGTTTACACAATGCTAATTGGTGTGCTACTTCTAAGCTACATTGGCCTCATAGCACCAGTGCAAAACTAAATAAGAAATCAATTTAACAGCTAAAAAGGGATTTTTTAAAATCAAGTTTTACACTGATCAGAAGAAGAACAAGTAAAAGCTTTGTATTCATCAGATATGATGCCAAGCCTGAACATTTTACTGGCTTAATATACCATAGGAAGCACTGAGAGTGGAATTGGCTGATAGACATGCTGGAGAAAAAGGACATTGGTCAACACACTCATTCCAGGTGAACAGTCACTAGCAGTCACTGATATTGAGGCGATAATGTTCCCTCATTGAAGGGAAACGCTCATGTGACAGAGTGTTGATGTGCTGCCGGCTCACATTCAGCCAGCCACACAATTAAGCGGTCCGTGACAGCCAGCGTCCATCTTTTTTGCGATATGAGTAATGATGCCGTCACTGCAAGGATAACAGTAACTGCCCTGCAAACCCGCACCGCACCAATCAGTGACATGCACACACAACCAGGTATACATTTACAAACACACACACAAACACACACACACACACACACACACATCAATAAGCTTGTGCACCCACCCACACAGACTAGCCTGACATACACTCACATGCTAGCCTCGAGGCAATTAAAGAAGCTTGAGCATTTCTATGAATGCCAAAACAAGCCAGGTTGAGAGTGGACAAAGAGAACAGCTTTTGCAGGTGATGTTTACAGGGCCCATATCTTTATTTACATTACATGACTTTACATTATTATTTTATTGTATTTTGAGCTCTGAAACCCACTTATGAATATGAGGTTTGTCTGGTTCTAATTCATTTTTCCATCAGGTTTTCCATCACTTCTCTTTATCCCTTAGACCTAAACAAACTTTTTTTATTACTGCGCCTTATTCCAAAATCAGACAAGGCTGAAACACTCCTCATTACTTCACCTTGAATGGGAGGAATTAAACTGCTGTAAGCTGAATATATTTATGTGTGACATTGTGAAAACAGTGGACTCAAAATACGCTGTTTTTCCAGTTTTTAATGTAGAGATTGGGAAGTGAATAATAACTATTTTACTTCAAAAAAAAGCAAGGAAAATTTGTACTTCTATGATATGGTCCTTTTACAGTTAAGGTTTTGGTATGGAAAGCTTAGCAAGGAAAGGCAGCAGAAGCCAAAACTTGCATTAATTTGTTTTTGTGTGATGTTATATTTGTGTTCCAGAGACCAACACAGTACTGTGTCTGGATTACTGGTGTTTGTTTCACAGTAATCTTACACTTTATTTGAATGCGCCTTTTCTTTACATTGTAAAGGCAACTGGCAGTAGAGTGGTGGATTTCCTCTTCAGATAGCTGGAAGCAGCCTAAAAACAGTTATAGTTACTACTACAACTTAAATAGCTATAACTGCTTGCAATAGCCTCGGTCAGCAAAAATGAGATTAAGAACTGCTTTAGTAAAGGTGTGATTGTAGCCAAAAATACCTAAGCGTGAAGTAGAGTAGCTCTTGAGAGGCTGTAATAGTGCACTTTAAAATGCTCCACAGGGACACATCTGCTTCTCGATGTGACCAGCGCAGCAACACTGCTCCAGGCTAATGATGCCAAGGAGACCCCCTCCCTGCCCTGGAGGGCCCATCAGTGCACACATACATACACACTACACGTACCCCCACAACATGGGTCCGAAGTAATGGTCCTGTGGAGACCCCCTCCCTACTTCGGAGATCCATCAGAGGCTAAAGCACTCTCTCTCTCTCTCCTCCCACTAAACCAGGATGTAAAAGTGTGCACTCCCCCCTGCGGGCTGCCACTGCTGACTCCTGCACTGTAACAGCCAGGAAACACTGAGGGGGGTTACACTCAGGCTTAATGTGCAGCCATTAAAAATGAAAGAGGCCTCTAACTGTGAGACAATGACTGCTCTGCTGGCATAAAGAGCTCCTCATGGGTGTCTAATAAGGCTGGCATGCTGAAAGTTACCTGCAAAATACGGTCCCCTTCCCGGATACGGCCATCTCGCGCTGCGATGCTGTTTGGTCCAATCTAGGGGAAAGCGTGAGACTGCATAATTAAGAATGAAAAGCACGTACAGAGCAGTTTGTAAGTAACTGGACACATTGAAACAATGACTGTCTTTAATTCAAGTGTATTGTCATCTATAGTGCTGTGCAAATGTATTAGGCCCCAAATGCATTGCTTAAAACCATTTTTCTCAGCAGTGAGTGTATTTTTGCTTGTAAAATCGTATATTATGAAAACAAATACAGTAAAAAGTAACAAAAACGTTTTATTAGGGGAAAAAAGCTTATATTATGAGCTAGTTTGAAGAACAATATTTGGTTCCACATATCTCCTGGACGCCTCCAGCTCTCACATAGAATCATTCAATTCCATCAGCAGGACACTTGATTTAACATACTGAAGTACTGATTAGCGAAACCAGGCACTGGACAATAACTACAAATAATAATGGGCATCCTTGAGGAGAGATTAGGAAATGGTTAAATGAACACACTGACATATGTAAAATCACAACTTATTGTATTAATATTATTTGTATTTATTGCAATGAGTTTCTTTCTGAGAAAACAAATGCTTAGTGTCCACATTAACAGCTTTCTAAATCAGACTTTCTCTGATGCCTAAAACGTTTGCAGTACTGTATATTGAGCAAACCTTATAGGAATCAAAGCCTTTTTACAAAGACCAGTCATTTCAGCACTACATAGAACAATGACCCAAAGCATACTAAAGCAACTACAGAATTATCCAGCAAAAAGAGGAATTATTATTCCTTACTGGGAACTCAGTTGCTCAGTTGGAACTCGGTGCACATGTCTTTCAGTGACTGAATGCAAGAAGGTCCTTGAAACAAACAGAAACTAAAAAATGGCTGCATTATAAACCTGGCATATCTGGAAGATACCAGAGTTACTGTTTAAGTGTCACAGACTTCAGGCAGTAAACAAATTACAAACGATTTGCAAGGCAGTTTTATTTAAGATTATGCAATGATGACCCCTGAAATTAGTGGTCTATGTATAAAAGAACTGTGATTATTATATACATATAGATGTAAATGCCCTCAAATGAAAGCTCTACAGTCATTGTTTCAACGGGTAGAACTTTTTTCAGAACTGTTTTTCATTTAGAAATATAACTTTGATTTACACTCACATTTACATTCCCAAGGCAATATTCACACTTTCTGAAATTTCTTGGAAATATAAAAGCATGACTCGCTTGTGATTCACAGGTTTATCAATCTCACGATCCTCTGTGACTAATGATACTAAGTAAAGGGGCAGCGCCATCTTTCAATGGCCAGTCAATTCTTGTCTCACCTCATTTGTTTTACTCTGTAAAATCATAGCACATCTCTAGAGATGACTGACAATTGTAGTCTTCTATCTTCATAACACACTCCAGACCCAACTCTTTAGAATGATGACCTGCCACAGTGTGTGATCATACTGACAGAGACAGCCGCACCAAGAGATGCCACTGATATGTCCTGTTCATCTGTTAAAGCAGTGCTTCCATTACAGCATTCTGTTTTCTTGTCGATTAGATTATCTAGATAACTATCAAAGTCATGTCTTTCATGGGTTGTGACGAAGATTCATCACACAACAAAATTACAGCAACGTGTTACTGCACCGTCCTTACATCCCTATTTTTATATAGTTATGAATGTTATCACTTCATTATTATTATGTTTATTATCGTAGCAACTGAATCATTTGTGAAAGGGCCAATTTCAATGCGAATACACTTTCCTCATAAAATGGATTACAGTGCATTTACTGTGATCCTCCTTCGCAGTTTTACAACTGACAGCAAAGGCAGTACATCAAGAGCAGCGTATAATATGGCAGATAGCACAGGCCACGCATCTGTAGTCTTCAATTTTATGGAGTGAAGATTTTAATAAGCCTGCAACCACTGACTGGCACTGGCATATCTATATTCAGCAGGAGTCTCTTCTGCAAGTACCTTGCGGCTCTGAGGCGACTTCAAATGAATCTAGGAGCATGTTTGGCAGAAAGGAGGAGAGTGGCTTTGGATATGGTGCCAACAAGTGGGAGAAGAACCCCCTCGACCAAATCTGTCTAACATACACACACCATGATTTTTGGAAGCAGTCGTTTTTTGCAGTGCCAGGAGAGAGGTGCGAGTATGTCAGTATTTTGGCTAATACTTGCTGTTCTGAACAATTTAAAGTTATTTACAGGTGCTCAAGGCATATAGGATAGCAAGTAATATATAGCTCACAGATCAGTTTATTTTTTATTTCCCATCAAAATGGCCATTAGGTACAAATTATTCATTTTTGAGCATCAGAGAAAAAAGCAGAAAATGTAAAGTTAAAAGAAAATTACACAGAAGCCTCAACAAATGTCAGATATTTAAATAAAAAGAATTACTATTTAATGTATCCACTCTTTGCTTTTATTACAGCTTCCATACTTTTCAGGAGACTTGCTTTCAGTTTTTCAAATAAATTTGCAGGAATATTTTTAAACACCTCCAAAGTTCAGTCTTAGAGGTTGGTTACATTTTCTGCTTCTCACAATCCACATAATCCCAATCATTCTGAGACCACCAGCAGCTGCTTTGTTTGATTTGCAAATGTTCTTGTTTTTTTATCTGTTTCCTTTTCTCAGTAAGGGCTTCTTCTCAGCTACACATCCTTTCAGAGTTGAGTTGTTCTTCTCACAGTGGATAGATGGACAGAAACACCTGTGGATTTTTTCAGATCTGTAGTAAGAGTGGAGCTTGATTGTCTCCTCTCTCTCAAAGATGAAAGCTTTAAGTGCTGTTTATCTGATGGTGACAGGTTTGGTGGTCTACCAATCACGTGCGGTTGTTAGGAGTCTAGGTTGTTAGGTTTTCTGTATTTCATTAATCATTTCAAATCAAGTCCTGTTTTTTTCCATTTATTTTCCTTTGACTTTCCATTTCCTTTCTGGAATATCTTGTATCTAATCTCCTCTGAAGTATCTCCTGAAAGATTCATTTTTATTTAATGGCCATTTTGACTGGAAATTAAATAAATGAAAAGTAGCCCCTGACCTCTGTACTATATATGGAAAGAAACAATGGACTTAAATGATAGTGAATTACTGGCTACTAGTTGCATCACTAACAGTAATGGTCTACATTATGTTAACAGTAAATTAATATTCCTAAAATCCCAGGCTCATTACATGCTAAGGCTTATAATTTAGTAACTACAGGGACTTCAGTGCAAACTGGCCAAGCTATTCTGAGGTTATAGAAGTGCATAATAAAACATTGGGCCTGCCAGTGGGCCTTGACTATTCAAGGGGTTAAAGGAGAGCTGCACACTGACAACACAGTAAATTGTTCACAAAACTACAGTGATGTATCTGTATGCTGCTGTAGATTTACAATAATCAATTTCTGCATTATTGTATGTGAAACAGGGCCCAAACGAGATATACTGTATACAGATCATAGGTATTATCAAAAAATCCCTGCTAAAGCACCAATATTGATTTGAAGTTGCATATTTCTATGTAACTCATTTCTAAGGGTTTAAATGGTTGTGTGTAAAGAGCAGTATAAGAGCATCTCTTCATCTCTTCACAGAGGACCATTCAAATCCTCAGTGATGTAGACAAGTAAGTAAACAGCTATGTTTGAGGCTGTTCATTTTAATTACAGCAATTATAGGCTGAACTGGTAAACCTGAAGTCTAACATGTTAATATTCTGAACTACTCAATGTATCTGGCCTATGTTTGCTTGTTGGTATAATTTTAGTTCTCACTTGTTGCTGTCACATCCCACATTCAGTTCAATTACAATTTCCTAGTAATTTGCTGGCAATGCTTGCAGTGTACCTAAAACCAGCTTATACTGTGATCAGCGCCAACATAAACTAAAATGTAAACTGTGTCAAAGAGCTGTTTGTCAGTGTTCCTGTCACAATCAGAACAGCATTACTCAAATAAACCTAATGCAACAGCACTCAGGCCTTAAACAAGTGCCCTTAATCAGTGCGTTACACAACCATGTCATTACGTCTTGTCCATATTATTCTTGTGTGCTCTGACTTTTCACGTTGAGGAAACCTTCAATCAAGCCATAATACCATGACAAATAAAACTATCCAAACATGCCTATTAAGCCCAGCACACAGTGTAGGAGCCAGGAGAGAAGTATCAAATTCAAATGTCACTTTTGATTAAGTCATATTTGCACTGGGGTCTTTCTATCTCATTGACATGCAGCCCAAATGCCTCTCTTTCCTGCAGATCATGCTGTATTCTGAGAATGGGTAATTCTAATCATCATGGGCTTGTTATTCTTTGTCTGCAAACAATTTGGCGAGAAAGTCAACATCTCTGAAAGCCTCAAAGAGCAGGAAAAAAAGGGTGGTCTCTTGCTGGTAGTGATATGCAGCAGATCTCCTACATTTTTAATGAACAGCATTAATACATGCGCTTACCAGGGGTTAAAAATAGCAGAGCTGTGTTCGGGTTTATGTAGATATGATGTCAGTCATATACTTTGTATATTGTATTGCCAATATTATGCCCACATTACAGACCAGTTTGTGTCAGGGGCAGAACATGATTACTTAGACAGGGCCTAGCTAACTAAAGAAACTATTTTTATTATGCTATGGTGATGTAGTAAAACTACTGTTAATCAAGAATCACATAAGCTCAAACTGCTTTTGGCAATGAGAAACTGTAGCACACAACACAGTTTTTGTCAAAATACTTCAATCTAGGGCTAGTATCCTGGATGTGGATTAGGTCTATTCTAAATTGTCAATAGTGAAGTCCAGGCTTAGCCTTAATCATGGTCTGGGAAACTGGCCCTTAGAGTATATGGTTAATTGTGTGCTATTAATTTCAAATAATATTTAAATGATATTTATGTAACCAGGTTTAGAGTACCTTTAAGGGCTTGACCACAAATCTGTAATTCTCAGCAGCTGTGGTTATTCCATGTATCTTTAAAATGGCAGCATTCATTTGTGTGTAACTCCTAATGTTGTTTCAGGTAAGTATTGATTGAAATCTGCTTCCTGGGTTTGGGATAACTGAAGGGGTATGCTCAGCATAAAGTTTTATTTATAACGATTATTTGATACTGAATGTCTTTTTAACTGTTTTGTTTGTGTTTAGGTTTGAAGTTTCCCTTCCCACATATGGCTGCAGCATAAACTCCAATGTGCAGGTAATCTTGTGCCAATGTCATTGCAACTATATTGCATCAACTTACATGTATCGTTTGTTTAAAGTGAGTCATTGCACTGCTGCTGTCTTTGTCCTTCTTTTCGTTTCTTTTTTTTTTTCATTAATTAAAAGTTTCTCTTTATCAAAGTTTTGATTACTGTTATGTTGGATTTTTTTTGTTAATGTGTTGTTTTGTTAAATTGTAAGTCATGTTCTGTATTGGCAGCCCAAACCAACTGTTGCTAACCTTTGTTTTAACTTTAGGTACCATCCTGATTTGTAGGTGGAGGCTGGTATGCCTCGGGTGAAATTTGAAGAACTGGAATTTGTGGATTAGCCTGCTTATGTCCCCCCCCCCACTCCTTGCAGCCAGTTTGCCATCCTGTCTTGGCTGGTGCCTTGAGTTTCAGCTATATGTTCAAAGCCATGATTGCCTACAGTGATTACAGACATCTCTTCTCTTACTTTAGTACTAGATGTACAGCTGTTTCTGGATCTAGCTGGCCCATTGCAGTTGTATTATTTTAATTAGTTTAATATTTTCAGTTAAGTGTATAATAAAACTTCTTGCATTTTAATACCGAGGAAACCACGTCTCTGTTCATCTGTCATGTATAATAAATGAACCTGTGTGATACTTAAGCTGTCATTTTATTTTGAGGGTTGCCAACTGAACTCAGGCTAGTTCCTCTGATTCCCACAGTGTCGCAGTCTGAGTTTATTCATAGTGAATGTTTTGGCACAGTGCTAAAAACCTATCTTGGTCACTTAGTCACATTTATTTAGTATGTGTGTGAAAAGTCACTGTTAAGGCTGATCACGTTTTGTTTTTTGTTGTGTGATTGAGCTGGCATTTCCAAACACAAAACTATACTCACCTCTGACACATAGATTGCAATGTCATCCTCATCATCTGTCCTGTAGCACAGAGTGAGGCCAAGCTTCTCCTGACTGTTCAAACGACACAGCTCCACCTCCTACAACATGAAAAGAGTCATAATGTTAGCTGTTGACATTTTGACTGGTTTCTGATAAATAACCTCTCCAAGTTTTGTCGCACTTTTCTAGGACAAATATTTTGTGCAGGGAGTTCTCACTTACAGTCAACACCAAATCACCAAGTAAACAGCCATCTGAAATGATGTATCCATGCATGAAATATTTAATCTGGATTGGGCAAATTACCCATACATCTTAATAAATAAGAGTTTTAACTTCCACTTCCAAGAATATCGGTGCATTAATATGCAGCTTCCTTTTTAATATTAATATATAGTTTGTAAATAAGCTGTACTTATGCTAATAAGCATTCATTTATTCGGTCAGCGATTGCTGAGCTTTAACCACAGAGAAGCTGCGCAGATGAAAAATTCATCGGCTGCTCCACTGTGGAGTTGGTGAGAGAGGGTTCAGCTACAGTTTGTGCCTTGCTAACTAGGATTCTAACTGCAGTTTCATCTTCCTGAAAACAAAACTTCAACAAACCACCACAGACGACTCTCCGACAGAACTCCTTCCAACACAAATGAAACTTAATAGTACACGCAGCATTCACTCTGTGAGGCTTTATTGACCTTGTCAATTGTCTTCATCATGGCGACTGCTCTTAAATTTTAAACCAGACAAAAATCAGAATGAAACAGTGACAATTATGGAAATAGTGTCAGAATAAGTTGTAATTTGTCTTCAAATATCTGTAAATCAAAACCATTCCTTACAAGCTTCACAATGTAAAAGCCACTCACATACTTTACCGGGGCAGAACGAGGACCGAGGTTAGAAACTCTTATTTATTGCAGAGGAAATCATGCTGTAGCCAAAAGCCTCATTACACACAAATATGAAATCATTTAGAAATCATGGAACACAGCTAGAGGCCTGAATATTAACTGGGAAATGTCAACTGAGATGTACATCAAATGCATAACTTTCTGATCAGGGTGGGCAATATGGCAAAAATATAACATCGCAATACTTCACAACATTTTTATGATGCACAATATCACAATATTTTGCTTTCCTTAAGTTTGATAAGTTGAAACAGACAAAAAAGAACCAGCAGTGCCACTTTTAAAACACTACCAAAAACTATGAAGACGAGTTGAATTGAACATTTCAGATACTGTGCTGCACTTTATCCATTTAAACAGGGACTAATCATGCTCTCTATGTAAAGAAACATGCAGGTGGTCAGTATTTTTTAAGCACTGATGTTACGAAAATATGCTTATTGTAACATAATGCCATGTAGTTTATCATGATAATGATAAATGTAATGATACTGCTCATCCCTACTTTCTGAGATACTTACTTGACAGACATCACAGCAGATTCACAGGGAGCAGAGTGAGTATATGAGAATGTTCTGAGCACAAACTGAAATACACCTTTCACTCAACAAACTGTTTCCGCTCTGTCTGGGTAGGCAAAACTCTCATACAGAAACAAACACCAGATTTTATAATCCTCTACAGATAATCAAGCAATTAATCTACTACAGATTTCCACTGATATGGTTACCTGTTCGCAGCATATCTGTCTACTTCATTGGAATGAAAAACCGACTGCAAGTGTGAATAACTGCATGACTTTAACAAAGTTATTCTACATATTTCACATAATATTATCAGTCTCACCTAAAGAGAAAGATGACAGTGAAGATGCATCATTACTGTGAGATTTGATTCAGAGCAAGGTCCTGACTGTCTAATGGCATAACACAGAACAGTAGATGTTTGGCAACAACAAACAGTGTGTGGTGGAACTTGGGTTTCCAGCTGTCCAGTTTTGGACCAACCGTGCCTTTACTATTTTGAAGACCTTGTCGGTCTGGTTTTGCTACTGGAATCTGGAAATCCTAGGCGGGGCCACAACAGACAAAAATCGATATGTGAGGTAAATGTTTGCTCTTGTGTACTGCTGAAAAAAAAGCTGTTTTTTCTAGCAGATCCCCCTCAACTGCTACCCCACTTAAACATAAAATCAGGTACCCATGATACAGAGTATTGTTAAAGTATTATTACTGAATTCTTCACTCTACTATTTCTTTGACATATTGCCAGTGTACTGTCATGCATATTGTATTAGCGTTCTCTACATTCTACTGGGTATTTTGCATGACTGTTTTCTAGTTGGACCACCACTATACAATAACTATATTTGTACTGGTCTCACACAGAAATGGAATCTTCAAACCTAGATACTCGCAATATAAATAAAGTGTATATTTGGCCTGTTCACTAGAACTCCACTTGGTTACCTGCTGCCTTGCCAGTGGTCAGAGCCAAAGAGCGATCAGAGCCAAAATACAAGAAATGATTTAGCCTTTGACATCTGTAGCCTGACTGGTTCCACATGTGTCAGGCATGTCAGGTCTTTGAGTGGAAAAATTGAGAAACACAAAGGAAGGCAGAGGGGAGAAGAGGGCGACAAATGAAGCTACCACAGAGAGCCATCTGGTGCGTGTAGTGCCAGAGGTCACATACACTTCCTCCTTATTCCCTGCCTGTGTTCATCAAACAGTGGCAGCCCAACATAAGCCCACCGGTGCAGAGGCCTGCACAGCTAATTGCCCCCCAGAGCAACATGTGAGGGGGGGAAAGGAGAGGGACGAAAGTGGGGCAACTATAGTGTCAGGCTTTGCGTCTCATTTTTTTGACACACTTGAGCAGACAAGCTCTCAGATCTTTAATTGAGTGCCTCTGTGAGTAGCAGCCTTGGTGAAGTGAGTGAGGTGCAGTCACTGATGCTATCACATCCAATGAAGGGGTGGCTGGGGCTTAGTGCCACATACTGCTACACACTGAGTGATATAACTGAACTGACATATTTTGAATTTTCTATTTTCTTTGAAGCTTTAAAGCACCAATTAAAGCCTTCATAACCTAAATCTGCAGAAACGTCATTATTATTCACAGAAACGCAAGAAAAACATGGAGAATTCAATAAGATAAGGCCCAACACTGACACGAAATAAGACCTAAATAACATTTTTTCAGACATAACATGCAGAGTAATTAGTTAGGCTGTCGAATAAGGAAGTGATTTTATATTAATAGGTTTGGAGGTAAATCACAAGTCTGTCTGTGAAGATAAAAAACACTGCTGGGCTGCGTATTGCAGGTAATGAGAGGAAGCACTTAAAGCGTAAACAGGCATCAGAAGCATCGCTATCAGCAGAAAACACCTGCTGTTCAGCCCCCAGTGGATATTCCTCCAACAATGTGCTTCCTTTGCACAGGTCGGGATGTCAGAATGTATCATTATTCCCTCAGTGAGTCAAATCTGAAAGCATCATCTGATCTCCTTTACAAAGTGTCTTCCCAGGAACGCTTCCGCTGCCTCCTGCTCTCTTTCCCTCTCATTCCATTTTCCAGATGATCTCCAAGGCTCAGGAGAGCGGAGAGATAGCGCAGATGAGAGGAATGCAGGAATGACAGTAAATTAATGAGTGTGATGCAGTGATTAGAGGAGATGACTGCCCACAGCCAGAATGCCCAGTATGCTGTCATAATAACTGTGCATTTGTGCAGCTGTAATAGCAGAAGGACTGAGTAAAGCAGTAGGAAAAGAGAGAGAGGGGGAAAAAAGCAGACAGAAAAGAAAGTGATCCTTCATCTCCGCATCCGGAGCTCTGAAAACCATGGAGTACAGCTACATAACACTGAAAAACATACCACAGTGTATTTATATTGCTATTTTCTGTGACTGTGACATGTCTTACAATATATTTACCATTACCATGCTCAATGCCAAGCGTTGGCTAGAGGGGTATAAAGCCCCCCAGCATTAGGCTGTGGAGCAGTTGGGCTCTGTTCTCTGGAGTGATGGAGCTCCATCCAACACCTCTGGGATGAGCTGGAGTGGAGTTTGTAATCCAGAACTTAACATCTAACATCAGAACCTGACCTCAGTAATGTTCTTCTGGTTGAATACAACCAAATCCTAACAGCAATGTTCCAACATCTAGTGTAAAGCCTTTCCAGAAAAGTAGAGGCTGTTACTGCAAAAAATGTTGGATGAGCAGGAGTCTACAAACATTTGGACCTAGAGTACTGAAAATAATTTGTAAACCTATTTTACTAGGGCAGTAAACATGTATATGTTCAAAAACACTAACATTAGAATGAATACAAACAAGTAATATATTGTATGTTGTATTTTCATGTGTGTGTTACGCTTAAGCATTTGCAAGTTAATCAATCCTTCATTAAATCAAGATATCCAACAATTTGTTAATCACTATCACAATATTAGCCTCTGCAATACTGACATCACAGAAGGCTGCAATTTGTAAAATGAGCACTTTAATATGTTCATTTAGTCCAAAAAAAGCTAATTATTTTGGTCAAACTAATGCAGTCCAATCATATATTACTCATTATTATTATTATTATTATTATTATTCACCAATGTGTTTCAAATATATTGCAAGGCGTATCACAATCGCAATATGTAGCAATATAATCACAATACTAGTATTTTGTCTATTTTGTCAGACACAACTGAGGCTCACATGCATGTAACCAGATTGTCATACTGCAGTAATGATTACCAAACAATACGTTGCCCTTCCATGGACATAATTTAGCTGATGGTAAATCCAAACAACAAAAACAAATAAATAAAAATCTAATGTCAGTTTTTAATATCAAGATCTACCATAAATCCCATAATTTGAAACTTAACATTGTAAGACCATCCCTTCCACCAGCATCTTTACATGACTGTGTTCCAAATTTTTTTATTTTTTTATTTCCAAACAATGAGGCGACAGACTTTAGAAATGAATAAAACACGCCAGCCCAAACAGTCATTTCACACTATTGAAACAGCAGCTAGAATATTTTCCTTGTCTCATGCCAGATTTTCTTAAGACAAGCCAATCTCTTCTAAGTGGGCTCCTCTCTTTGTGCAAAGATATTCCTATTGACATATGGTAAGTGGAGGTACGTTCTACCCTGGAATCTATCCTTCCAAGCATGAAATAAAAAGAACACACACAATGTAATAGGATTAGTTCCCAGAAATGAGCCGTGTAGATCAGCACTTAATATAATATATTTGCTCTGACTTAATGTGAGCAGCAGGAGACACGAGCGGATGTGTAAATCTCTGAAGAGGAGCTGGAACCCATGCTTGGTGGGGCAAAAGCATTCGAACAAATTCAAATGAAACAAGCAGGCTAAAGGTATCATCATATATCACTCAAAGCTCCTAAACAGACTGTCCTCCCTCAAATGGCCTGGAAATAAAGAAATCTCCAAGCTAGTGATGCAATTTGGTGGATCACAACAAAAACTAGCATGTAGAAAAAGAAATTCATCATCTACGGCGTGCTATTCTGTAAGATGACTGATAACATCATCTATCAAAGCTCAACACAAAGATGGAAGAAAAAATTTAACAAGATGAACAGCTCTTGACATTATGATGGACTAGCATGGCTTAACGAGAGTTCTGAAGGTGCCGTTATATGTTTCCAGTGCAGTGACATATATATAATGAGCAAACTCACTCATGGGGCAGAAACAATCAAAATCAGTGGTACAGAAATGCTGTGGTGTGGATTTGGAGTGGTCTCATTCATATGAACATCATTATGATTTATTCTACAATGTATAACACAATAAGAAACATTGTGGTGCTGAATGACATGGACCATGTTATTGTATTTAACCCTTTCATACCGAACATCTAGTCAGCAACATATTCAGAGATTTTGGTGATATCTGGCAATATATGCCTCTAAAGTAGTTATGGCAATTCTGTTCATGTTGGGCATAGTAAAATGGATCAGAATTTACCAAAAGTGATCATAATCAATGTGTACAAGACCATTTTTGGCACTGTGTCTTGACTGATATAGGTAAATGAGCTCTGTTCTGACTGGTTGCCCTGTATTGTGCCTTATTCAAAAAGCACTCCAAACTGAAACTCCAATGCCAATGAGTGGGGCTAAACTGCTGTAGGCTGAGCAGAAAACCCAGAAGCAGTGGCATATTTTGGGCAGATTTGGTCATTTTGGACAGCTACTGAATACAGAATGTAGCCCCCCCCCCTTGGGACCTCATGCACTGATCTGGAACCAGTTTATCCTACGCAGTAGCCTTGAGCTATCCTGCTTAGTAACAGCTTCTTTGCCATATTCAACCAGTCTGATCTTGCAGGCATTCAAACAATTGGCTGACATCTTTAACGGAGAGAATCTTTTATTGCATCAAACCAATCAGAAAACAGAGCAAAGCAATCTAGCCAATCGTGAAGCTGGCCAAAGTTCTGGCTAAACACAGAAATAAACACATGGTCTGAGTATTTGCAGAACCAAACTGGTTGGAGCAGAAAGACCATAACTAACAGAAACCCCAAATGAGGCCATATTAGTAGAAAATGCAACAATGATCTCAGCTCAGCAACCAAGGGCAACAGCGTGCCCCCACCCCCTCCATTTATTTACCAGCCAGTGATCATGCGTCCTAGGTCATGACTGTGACCCATCATCTGTCAGTGTGGACCCATGGGGACAGCCCTGGGGACTCTATTACCAGCCGGGCTGCTCTTATGATTGGGAAAGGTCTATTATGGGGAGTCACGCTGGCTGGATGTCAATTGTTATTAATAAACTTGACAGGACGAAACAGGATGGAGTCTTACCTCATATTCCAACTCATCCGTCCTCTCAGCATCAGCCGGCATGGTGGAGAGGTACTCGCTCCCTTCATAATACTCTTGACCCATGGTGTGCAGAGAATGGCAGCTATGGGCAAAGAGAGAGAGAGCGCGCAATGAAAAAACTGTGCTTTGAATTTATATAACTCAACTGTATCATTCCGTTGCACATGACTCAAATGTGTTTCAAAATGTGAGTGAAATGTGTTATATCAACACAATTCATGTCAAAAGAAAAAAACTGACAAGGAACAACTGTTTTTGTGTAAAATTTTATTCATTCATTTATTCAACTAACCTGAAATTAGCAGCTTATCAAATTAGTAGTTCACAAAAAAGTAGCAGAGAAATTTTGTTGAAAGCTGATTCTGGCTCCCAAGTGGTGACATCTAACGCTGTATTTACATTAGAACGAAACGAAATGCTTACGCCGCTGCTTGTTTGCCACTTTGTGGGTTTGTCACTAAAATGCAAATACGTGAAGGTGCCCAGGCAGAGCTGTAACCTAGTTATAAGCTCTGATGAAATGCAGGTAAGAAAAGATCTAAATATTCTTTCTAAAATGTGAGCTAATGTAAAAATATCCCACTAATTTCTTCCATCAACACCTATTTCAGAGTGTAGCTTTAATAATGTATAATAATAATAATATTGTGATCCAAGATGTTACACAGAGCAGCACGTTTCAACATTCTGACTGGCTGCCGCCCAGCAAAATTTCTTCTGATTTTGAGAAAAGCTTAACTTTTCATTGCTCTCAGCATGCTTCATGCCACTGCCACTCCCACAATCTCTCATGCACAACTGCCACCTGTTTCCACAGAAATGAATGAGATGCAATCGAAAATCACCCCACTTTGCTGTAACGTAAATGTAACGCAAGCACGCTTACTGTCAACACACTGTGAATTTAGTCACCGGCAATGCCACAGCCATCTGTGGTTGGAGGTCCAAGAGAGCAAAGCTGGTCTCACTAAATTGCCCTTCCTCTCCCCATCACACTGCACAATGCCTGTTAGCTGTCCAACAACACTGTGTTACTGTTTTCTTTAAAGAGATGCTGGCTTCAAGTGCTTCAAGAGGAAGCACACACTAGCCTTCAACCTTTCAGCTAGCCAGTTGGTGGAAATGGATACGACTAAACATCCAGCTCCACCATCCAGTTCAAACCATATCATGTTTGTAAGTAGGAGAAATATTTTATTATGATTTAAAATTTTAAATCATATGTAAAGTTATGTGTATAGTTATGTTCTGCAAAAAGAAAAGCAAAATGAGTGAGATGGAGAGATGAGTTGCGAGTGAATGTTGTGACTGAGCAGCTGGAAAAAGGAAGAGGCACGTCACAGCTTCTAATCACAGCCCTTCAACCCCCCCCCACACATGCATAGTGTCTTTGTCCTTTCCTGTGACGGCAATGACAGGTGAATAAAATGTCTGTCATACATTCTCAATGATGATGTCATGAGAGGAATAGGACATTGTCTCTAATTAATTACTATAAAGCCTTCAGTCCATAATGAAACCCCCTCCTCCTTATGCTGTACCCTTGTCCTTGGGGAGAACACACAAACAAGCCCACTTCTATAACACGGGGGATTATTCCAGACAACCAGGAAAAGAAATATGCTCTTCCATATGCTGCTATATGCGGGAATATGTAAATCATAACACACAACATGTACGCAAACAGGACTGTTTTCTATGGAGGGAGAACAAAAAACAATCTATGCAAGTTTTATACATTATAAATAATTTGTTGCTGTGCTGCATTTTAGATGTATAAAAATACAGCAGTGGTACAGCAATGGCATACAGGGTGGACATTTCACTGTATATCACCCACAAGCCACTTTGTATAACCAGCTATCTATTGTAAATGCAAGAATGGTTTATTTTTTGTATCTGCCATGTGGTGTGCACCACTGAGTATATGAATACAGAAAAATTGCACTGTTTTATGATCTGCTCTGAGATACACTCGGACAAAACACATTTTGTTGGATCTATAAAATCTCTATTCTGTCTGAGGCACCTGATGGCACATGAGGAGCCAACAGCAGTGTTGGTTTTATGGGACAGGTTGATTACATTGGGACCCTGCTACAGGATGTAGGAATAAATTTCAACTTAATGTAGGTGTCTATGCTTTTTATTTTATAGGTCAATTTACTTTTAATTACCTTGTAAAGCTCACACTATTGCAGAGGAACACTGAGAGGCTCTGGTTATTACAAGAACATCTTCAACTAAAAGTTTTGTGATCATTAGCCAGTGAGTTCTGAAATGAGGTGATATGACAAAAAGGTTTACAACACTCTATATAAAAGCACTTCTTGTACTTCTTCAATGGTTTATCTAACCACAAGTCTTTTGGGTACAATGTGACTATTAAGAAATTGCGAAATCCAAATCAAAGTACCTACCATAAATGGAATTTGAAAACGAAACAGGAGGCATGTGTGGGTGACAAATTTTAGACAATTCATTATCCAAAGGCCATTGTGCTGTATTAATTACGTCCCCTACATGCAGTCTCTGTCTGCATGTGTGAGAGCTTGTCTCAATTAACTTGGCATTCTGTAAGAAAAGCCCCACACAGCTTGTTTGCCATTTGTCTCTGGGGAAGAAACCTAGATATTCTTTATGCTAAACTTTATCTTGTTCACAGTTTGTGACTCCTTTGAGAGGAACTTGAGAACAAGCACAAGTAAATTAAAAAGAAAAGAAATGAGCGCTCTGGTTTCCTTTGTTGTTTTCCAGGAAACCCCAAGATGCTCTTAAAGTTCATTAAGAATGCAGAGCCTTTATTTAGGAACACATATAGACTGAAGTGTTTCTGGAGGTAAATTACAAAGCCCAGTGCTCATGTTCTAAACTTAACTTAAGGCAAGACTGAAGCTAAACTTTCTACTCCAGCAGAAAACTCAGCAGGCTTGAACAACATGGTAGAGGTCTTCACTCGCGTGGACTCCCGTGGGACCAGCCCACTGCAGTTGAGAGCAGGCCGAAGCATGCATGAAGAAAAATCCCACAAATTAATGAATAGCCTGAATAAAGTAGAACCAGTTCATCAAATTAATTCACCAAATCATAATATATATATATACAGTGGAGGAAATAAGTATTTGATCCCCCACTGATTTTGAAAGTTTGTACTCTGACAAATAATTAAACAGTCTATGATTTTTATGGTAGCTTCATTTTAACAGTGAGAGATGGAATATCAAAAAGAAAATCTAGAAAATTAAATAATATTTAAATAAAAAATAATTTGCATTTCAGTGAGGGAAATAAGTATTTGATCCCCTAAAAAACCATGACTAATGTTGGCTCCCACAGACCACTGACACACCCTAATCTCAGTGAAGTCGTTACCTGCATGAGAGACACCTGTCCCAAAATGTCACCTGTATAAAAGGCCACCTGCCAACAGACTCAGTGACAGTCCAATCTCCACCATGGGCAAGACTAAAGAGCTGTCTAAAGATGTCAGGGACAAAACTGTTGACCTATACAAGGCTGGAATGGGTTACAAAGCCATAAGTAAGAAGCTGGATGAGAAGGTGACAACTGTTGGGGCAATTATTCGGAAGTGGAAGAAGTACAACATTACTGTCAATCGACCTAGGCCTGGAGCTCCATGCAAGATATCACCTTGTGGAGTCTCATTGATCATGAGAAAGGCTAAAAATCAGCCAAGAACTACACGGGAGGAGCTGGTTAATGATCTCACGGCAGCTGGGACCACAGTCTCCAAAAAAACCATTGGTAATACACTGAGACGTAACGGTTTAAAATCCTGCAGTGCACGCCAGGTTCCTCTGCTCAAGAAGGCTCACGTCCAGGCCCGCCTCAAGTTTGCCAATGAACATATTAATGACTCCGAGAGAGACTGGGAGAAGGTGCTGTGGTCAGATGAGACCAAAATTGAGATCTTTGGCCTCAACTCAACTCAGCTTGACGTGTTTGGAGGAAGAAAAATACAGAATATGACCCTAAAAACACCATCCCCACCGTCAAGCATGGTGGTGGAAGTATTATGTTTTGGGGGTGCTTTTCTTCTAAGGGCACAGGCCAACTTCACTGCATCAACGGGAAGATGAACGGGGCCATGTATCGCAAAATCCTGGGTGACAACCTCCTTGCCTCCGCCAGGGCACTGAAAATGGGTCGTGGATGGGTCTTCCAGCAGGACAACGACCCAAAACATACAGCCAAGGAAACAAAGGAGTGGCTCCATAAGAAGCATATCAAGGTCATGGAATGGCCTAGCCAGTCTCCTGACCTCAATCCCATAGAAAATCTATGGAGAGAGCTGAAGCTTCGCGTTTCCAAATGCATGCCTAAAAACCTTAAGGATTTGGAGATGATCTGCAGAGAGGAGTGGGCCAAAATTACTCCTGAAGTGTGTGCAAACCTTATAAAAAACTACAAGAAACGTCTGACTGCTGTGCTTGCCAACAAGGGTTTTGCCACCAAGTATTAAACGATGTTTTACTAGGGGGTCAAATACTTATTTCCTTCAATGAAATTCAAATTAATTTTTATTTCTCATTTCATGTAATTTTCTCAGTTTTTCTTTTGATATTCTAAGTGTCGCTGTTAAAATAAAGCTGGCATAAAATTATGGGAAGTTTCATTTATTTTTTTGTATTATAACTTTTAAAGTCAGTGGGAGATCAAATACTTATTTCCTCCACTGTATATATATATATATATATATAGATATATATAGATATATATATATATATGCACAGCAGTAGGGCATCCCAGGCGAAGCACTGAAACACTGCAGTGTTTAGAGAATAGATCGATGCTGACTTCTATTCGCACAACATACAGCAGAACAAAAAAGCCATAAAAATTGATCAAAATTACACAGAAAATGTGTAAAAACTTAAAAACGCTATATCTGGGGACGAACATGATACAATTTGGACTAAATGTGGGTGTGAATATAGACTTACATTTTTAGTCTATGCACAGTGTGACATACCATCATTCCTTTGGATTACTTTTTGAAATCACCATTTTATATTCAGTGTTAACTTGTGTTACAAACTGACCCACTGATCTAATGTGTTTGGTGTACCTTTTACTTTAATATGAAATTTAAAAGATTTTATACCATAAAACACTACTTTTGGATTTGCTTTACCATGTGTAAAAGTAGGCTACCCTTTTTCTTGGTTTTGAACATGCTGTTACTGTAAGTATTTATAATTTATTTAAATATGACTTGATTGGCTTGGATTCTAATCTCTCAGATTAGAAACATTTGTATTTTGTGGTTTAGACTGGTCCTCCTCAGGGTCAGCTGGTCTTACCTGTCCGAGAGCAGGAAGGGGCAGATGTCTGGCACGGGTGGGCTGCTCGGGCGGAGTTTGGCAAGAGCCATGATGTGCTCGAAGGTGATGTCTGTCTGTGTACACACATCCACCAGCTGAACATCCTGAGATGACCCTTGACCTCGCGGGAGAGGGTTCCGCCGGAGCACCTGGACCACGATGGGATCTTTGGCACTGCGGAAGGCCTCAACTGCTTCCTCATGACTGGCCCTCGATAAGTCCTTCCCATTCACCTGCAGAGGAGGTTAGACATCACAGTCGGTCATTCTTAACAAATGGACCTTTAAAGCCAATGTGGATCAAAAATCATAACACATTTTCCTTCCATACCATCATGTATGTCCAATTAAAACAGTATCAGGGAGTCTCTCTGTCCTAACTGAGCATCTTTACTCAGTAACAGTTGGGGTGATGGGAGTAGGAAGTAAAGTATGTTTAGTATGACCAGGGATGTGAACTAACATGATAAAAAGGTTTACTTTAAAGAAGATCCCTGATAAGACTGTGGGGCTCTGGATGAAATCTTTGCAACAAACATTTATCTCTCGACCATATAACTAATAGAAATTCTATAGTGCTGTACAATGTGTGCAGTGATAATGTTGCTCATATACATAACTGCTAACTGAAATGATCAGATTCTATTTTAGTGCACCAATGAAATCATATTAAATGTTGCATATCTGCACATTCTCCTCATATCCTTTCCAACGTTCTCAGCCATTGCACCATTTAATAGGGCCTATGCTCAATTTGTAAAGAAAAACACATGCCTTCTAGGGTTAGAAAGAATCTTTAACTGCTAGGGAGAGACAGTCCTTCATGGTTCTTAACAGATCCATTTTAAAAGGCTTAACAGACATAAAAATTACTCTCCTTTAAGGATAAGTGGGGGTCATCAAAATCACTCTATCTGCAGCTTTTTTCTGAAGAGCGTGCTTTATTTTTTTCAATACACTTCATCTCATAACACTTCCTAACTTCAGGTTTTGACTTTCAAAACTTACCCTATGCCTCATCATCTTTCAAATCTTCCTGAGAAAAAACAGGGATTAGGATACTTTCTTCATCTTCATAAGAGCCTAGAGGGCTCTGCTGACATAACAGCAGCACTTCATAAGCTTACTAACGGAGCAGTGCCCCAGTTCAACCGCTGTGCAAGGGCAAAAAACAAGTGATTGGTCTAAAACACAATACAACTTACACAATAAAGGGCCTTGGTTTAGCCACTAAGCCATTTAGTGTTTTCCACTCATATTTAGCCCTTAATCTATAATTAAGTGTTATTGGCTGGATCCAATTGGCAGCAATTAAGGCACACACGGGACCTGTGCGCTATTAATGAAAAGCATTTGCTCACCCATTGAGCAGCAACCAAACAAAACTGCAATGTCATTACCTTTTCAAATAATTAACTTCTTAATTCCACAAACAGACTTAATTCTAAGCATCTATCTACAAAATACTCAGTTCTGTCTCATTTAGTTTGTAAATGGAGAAATAGAGATGAATATCAGAGCCCATGCATGAAATGAATGGTCCTTTCTCTCTTAAGGCCATAAAGGTTAGTATTTATGCATACTAATAGCAGGTTACTTTATGCTGTGTCCCCTTGAGGCCAGTCTGTCTTTGGTTAAAATGGGCAATGGCATTCTGCTCTCACAAGAGAACAGTGTCAAAAGTAATGAATAATATCGCTGTTTCTCTTAGTCGCCATGTGGAGTGCTAAATGTGTGTGATGTCCTACAAATAGGTATGATCTAATAAGAAAGAAAGTCATTAAGCCAGTATATAATATCTGCTCCATTTATTATGCATCATTGTAAGCAGATCAAGATGTATTAAATTTTGAAACTTGTCAAAATAAAATAAACATTCAAGTGAAACTTAGCTTATACAAGCATTAATATTAGAGACGTAAAGTGGCAAATTGTGAATATTAGAGCCAGACCCTCAGTTTGGGCCACAGAGTCAAATAGAGTCAATTAGAAGGGAAAAAAACACCTTTGTGATAATGCTAATTGCTGCTAGTGCCCCAATGGAATTCTATTATTATGCTAGCCACTAATAGTTAATAGTTGTAAATGAGTGCTAAAAAGAGCATTGACACAGAGATGAGGCTATCATTAGTGAGGCTACCATTTCATTCACAGTCAGTGATGTATTTAGGACCTCCAGAAGGCCTAGAGTCAGGATTTTAGTGGTTAATTTAGCAGTCAAGTGTTAGACTTTCAGTTCAGCTTTTGAAGTCCTAATCAATGGGAGAGCTAGATTAGTTGTGTCTATCGAGATACCACAGGGAAAATATAATGATTCTGATCCTGACGATGTCTGAAAACAAAAAAAGGATGCAGTGGTGTTCTTGGCAAAATAAAAGGCCTGGAGCTTAACTTACAGAAAATAATCATGTTTAAATGGCATTCGCAAAATTGGTCAGAAAAATTACAACTGGAGAGTTTCCCTAAACTGTTCAGCCCTATGGGCTGATATCAGAAACTGCTGATGCATATATCGGAAGGGGGAATAAAGGGATAAATCAGATCCAATCCTGTCACAAATCTATCTTGAAATACCACATACTCACACTGTGTGACTGTATATAAAATATCTCAAAATAATCAGCCGATGCTCAAGGCTTTCACACTGCCATCAATACTGGAAAAGACAAAGTGGTATTGTGCCATAAAGTGAACAAGGAAATTTTACATTAAGTGGGGCACATTACTGCCTGTAGTCTCAACATTTTATTTCCTTGAAAGACTTTCTTTTTAATGCTGTGTATAATTCACAACTTGATACTGATTAGCTATTGGAACATTCATCCCCACAGCTAAATGAATACTAAAGTAATTACATGCTTTTTCAGAATGCTATAAATTATAAATTAGTGCAGAATATGTTTCAAAAGAAGAGCAGAGCTCAAACAGCAACTCTGCATCGTTTAAAACATGTATCATGATCTTAAGTGGTCAGTATTCTCAGTGAGAGAGTGCTTGGACCCCTCTATTTGCTGACTGAATTGAATATCTTTGCTCTGCACATGGCATATATATGGAGAAGAGGCCTGGTTCATTTAGTCCAGTAATTGGGAGCCAGAGAGAACAATACGGATGAAATACTCCTGTGAATAGGCTTTGAAATAGAAGATAAGAATCTGCTGCTTGAATATGGTCAAGCCAGCACAATTTTCCCCCTCAGCTTTTGAAATACTACTTTTCCCCTAGCATTTCTTATCCATTAGGATTACTACAAAGAAAGAGTTGAGAGAGACAGAAAAAAAAAAAACAGAGAAGAGAGGAGGTGAGCGAGAGAGAAAAATGCTGCACTGTTGAGTTAGAAAAACAACACTTCATTTAGTTGCTTAAGGCAAGTGTAAACAAATGAATAGAGAGTGTAAATGTATTTCATAACCCAATAATAAAACAAAGCACATTTTGCATAAACTACCAGGGCTCTTTTTAAAAATTTAAGCAAGCTGTGCTGATTTCATTTACAACAGGATGTATTCTAGACAATAGGTTATTATTTTAATAATGACAAGCGCTTTTGTACGTAGCTATAACTACTATACTATTGATAAAACTCTACCTCAAATGGGTGAAATTACAGGAAAAGCAAAGGAAACTTCAATGTACGTTAATACAACAAGACTTTATTCCAAGTAAGTAACCTGTCCATGCTCAGCTCATAAAGGCATTTTTCATAGTACCTGTTAGCAGGTTGGCAAGCTTCATAGAACACTGGCAAAAATTCCACTGAACCTGGAGAGAAAAACCTCAGCTTTTTTAATCAAAATATCTACATTTTTATTATATAAGATAGAGATAACGTTAATATTGTATGTGTGGAAGGTTGTGCAATCAAGCTATCATTAGCATGGTGGCAAATGTGTCATAGTTTTGTGTTGTAAAAGATTGTAAAGTTTGTCCAACCCTGCAACAGATGTGGTAAATTACGCATTTGTGGCCAGAGCACACGCAGGTCAACTGTGGACCTTTGCTATAGATCACTGAAGTTGTGAGTCATTCTGTATTTAGCATCATGCCAATATTAGGAACTTCAGCAGTTTTTCCTCTAAGAGAAAAATGAATGTCAGTTTTGCCTGTATCGTGTCCTGGGGTAATCAAGATCCAAAACATTTGCCAAAAGTAAAGAAATGAATTACGAGTCACAACATTACTACATTCGGTACTACAACTGCTGCGGTATTCTGTCACACATGGCGAAAGAGGAAGCGTTATCTCCTGGCAGAGATGGCCGAGATGCCTCGAGACCCTACAAAAGTTATGTGTCACCTCTCTGCTGCCGATAAGCGCTCTCAATAACACTCCCTCTGAAGATGCTGCTCCTCTCACTGAAGTGACCTTTGTGTGAAGCAATGCTGCATTAATCAGCTAGGCAATAAAGTAGGTCATCTCTCCTGAGGGATGCTTACGACAAACATGTGCCAAGAGAAAAAGTGGAATGATCAGTAGCAGACATGGCAGACATCTTTCTGGACCCACTTTCATCTTCCACTCTGCTTTACTCCATGGACCTAATCTGTGTCCCTTTTCTGCTAGTCAGCATTCAAAACCTATTGTTAACACCAGGTGCAAGGCATCCGCTGGGGTTGAGCTTGGAGTCTGGTGCTGTGTGAAAACGCCTCTGTTATGGCTGGGCAGTCCATTCCTGAAGCGGCAGGATTGGAGACAAAGAAGCCGAACTAGATAAATGAGCGCACCTATGGTTTATGACAGGCTGGGAGAAAAATGAACAAATGGTAAGTGCTAGCAATGTCTCTTGCAGCATCTAGCCTGATGGCGGACGTGGCCTTGCTGAAGGAAAAGAAGCCATTTACAGCAGAAAGACGAAAGGAGGACTACTTCCTCATTGTTTACATGAGTGCCAGATGGACCAATTAATCCCATTTGAGCGACTGAATATTAATTCAGGGCATTCTGGGCACCCGCCTGGCCACGACGTTAGTATTCTGCTACCTGCCAGTGGTTTAGCACTAACGGTGTCAGAGCGTGCTCTAATACCACACAGATGTTCAAGGACAAGCAAGGCCATTCACAAGGCCAGCGCATGCAGAGAGTATAATGCTAATACAGGGAGAATTTATAATTTAAAGAGATTAGCATCTTAACTTGGCGAAGAGTAATATGCTTTAAGAGGAAAATGACAGACTTAGAGTGGGCTATGGGACATGAAATCAGCAAAAGGACCATCATTTGGCCCTACCCTATTC